CAGGCACCATGATATAGCAAAATCGCGAATCTTCAATGCATATATAAAGAAATATACGGTAACCCGAATTTACCACACTCGCAAAATCGCACACAGCCAACCATACACCTAGTATGGTATCGCGATTCGCGATTTTGCGCTATCATACTGGGTGTATGATCGGCTGTGTGCGATTTTGCGAGTGTGGTAAAATCGCATAACAGCAAAATCGCATAACAGCCGAGCATACACCCAGCAGCGCTGCTGATGCCTGAACGGTATGTGGAATGAAGTGGGCGGGCATCGGGAGGCCACTATGGCACGGGGCAAGCACTATGGGCAGTCTATCTGAAGTGTACCTGGCGTATAAGACGACCCCCCACTTGGAGGCATATTTTTCAGGGCCAAAAAATCGTCTTATACGCCCGCAAATACGGTAATCCCAACACCTAATGACTTTAATTATCCACTGATTGCCTGATATTTGGTGTGTTCTGCACTGTCTCCTCAAAGGGGCTATATAAGAATGAAAAGGGCAGAGAAGGGCATGGAGAAAACATGTGCCAGCAGGAACATGGCCAGTCCCAGGAAAAGCAGCAGTCATTACAGGACTGAAAAACAATATACATCTCCCAACTGTGTTTCAATCTTTTCTGCTGCCTGGATTCCTCCTTCATATACAGCAGAGCTGGGCAGAGAGAGGACAACCGGGACCGCCTCCATTGTAACCATAATGAGGATAAAATCTTGTTTATTCTCCATTTTTGCTGGAGGATGTTCTGGGTGGGTGAACACAAAAAATTACCTGCATCTAACAGAATAAATACACTGTTGTATTCCCCTATGATGGAATGCTCAATAGTAATAAAAATAAGCAATCTATAACTATATGCAACCAAGTGGAGGAATCTCTCCAATACATTGTTGAATGAGAAAAGCCAGGCACAAAAAGTACAATTTGCATGTATATCACAGAGAGAGAGAGAAAGAGAAAGAGAGAGAAATAGCAAAATGAATTAATGCTCCTAGAAATAAAGAGGAGCTACCCATGGAGTGGGGTGTCTAGAGGAAGCATGTTTCTTAATCTGGGTGCTGGTTACATGGGTGAGTTCAGTTCGTAAAATTATATTGAGCTGCACACTTACAATATGTGTATATCTAAGTGGTCCAGAGCCAGAAAGCCAGTTGAAGGCCCCAAATAGGGCCCCACGTCCTTCCCCTTGGCCATGTCTTCAAGTCTTCTGCCTCATAGGGAGCCCCACTCAACTCGTCCTTGTCTTTTCCAAGTATAACCAGAGAGAGGCCAAAGGGCAACACAGCACACTAGATTGTTCTGAGATGCCTGCAATTCCAGTCAGAATCCTTCAGAATGGCAGTGTCTTTTGAAGGAACTTTACTGCTGTCACTACCTTTGTCTTCTAAATGAGACAAGAGGCTATAAGAAGCCTCTGCTGCTGTAATTGGCTCATTTAAATGGACTGCTTTTAAAATGATGTCCCAAGTGGGCAAGTCTAGTTTATAAACATCTATGAAGGAATGCTTAGATGCTCAGAAACCACTTGAGGAAGATTCCATAAATAAAATGTAACAGAGATTAGAATGCAGGACAGTTGACAGCCTTCCTGCAAGAACCACAGAGCTGTAATAACTGATTGTGTAATGGTCCATAATGGATAATGTATAATAATCTACAATTATAATCATAGCTGAACACACCTTTAAGATTTTATGTAACGTCTCAATGCAGGGAGTCAAATTATGGGCTTAGAATCATTTTTTAATCACTCTAATGTTGATTTTAATATAATCACTTATATTCTTTATACATTCTCCTAATAATTTCAGGTTAAAAAATCAATTAAGATCTTTGATCACACTAGATCGCAGAGACTGTAAATGCTGATCAGGAAGAAGCAGGAGTGGTAATCAGATCCACTGACCCAACAATAGACGTCACCACAGTGGGCAGATGGGCGATTACAGGGAGTGAAGAAAGCACAGTGATCTCCTCCTGTTCAGGTCCATGTGTGGTACAAATTCCAATCCTCCATCTTCAGACATTTCTCAGAACAAACAAATTTGTATTGCATATCTGTCTATTAAATAAACTACTGTTTAAAGCTTTTAAAAATCTGACTTTATATCAGCTATTATACCTTTTAATAGGAAATTATAACTTCACTTAATTAAATTACTCTATGTCACATAGTTTATAAATGTTCTAAAATGGCTCTCAGAAAGAATATCCTTATTTTTAAGAGTCTTATTCTCAAGAATTTAGGATAATGTGTCATGATGGCTGTAATTTGCACATTTCAGCAGAAAAATATACAAACCTACACACACACACACACACACACACACACACACACGGCAAAATGCCAACAACTGTTAAATGTAGGTAGTGAATACATAAGAATTCCTGCACATTCTTTTAACTCAGTGGTTCTCAACCTTCCTAATGCTGCAACCCTTTAATACAATTCCTCATGTTGTGGTGACCCCCAATTTCATTGTTACAAATTGAACATAATTAAAGCATAGTGATTAATCACAAAAACAATATGTAATTATATATGTGTTTTCTGATAGTCTTGGGTGACTGTGAAAGGATCGTTCAACCCCCAAAGGGGTCGCGACCCACAGGTTGAGAACCGCTGTTTCAACTCTTCAGTATGTCTGAAAATTTTCATAATAAAAAGTTGCATAGAAATGTCTACTTACCTTTCAAGAGGAGACCATCGTCTTTCTCCTAATCAAAAATGAATGCTAACTATGCCCAAAGGCACACTCAGGTCACTCATGCTGCCCTCACCTGCAAGAATAAGCAAAACAACATGTTATCACCAAAGATTTGCATATTAATGCTACTTCACCTGAAAACATATTCTCAATATAATGGCAAGTCTCTAGAAGTGGTTCTCAACCTTTCTAATGCCGCGACCCTTTAATACAGTTCCTCATGTTGTGGTGACCCCCAACCATAAAATTATTTTCGTTGCTACTTCATAACTGTAATGTTGCTACTGTTATAAATCGTAATGTAAATATCTGATATGGAGGATGTATTTAGGCGACCCCTGTGAAAGGGTCGTTTGACCCCCAAAGGGGTCGTTCAACCCCCAAAGGGGTCGAGACCCACAGGTTGAGAACCGCTGCTCTAGATTAAAACACTGCTGCAACTATTTGTTGTTGTTGTTTTTTTAAATATATTTTATTGATTTTTTTACAGAGAGGAAGGGAGAGGGATAGAGAGTTAGAAACTTTGACGAGAGAGAAACATCGACCAGCTGGCCCCTGCACACTCGCAACCAAGGTACATGCCCTTGACCGGAATTGAACCTGGGACCCTTGAATCCACAGGCCGACACTCTATCCACTGAGCTAAACCGGTCAGGGCTGCAACTATTTGTTTTTAGCAAGGAAAAAAGTGAAAAGAGAAAAGAATGATCCCATCACATACTGAATGTAGGGAACAACTGTTAACCTCACCCACCCTGCAAATGTTTGGAACAAAGGAATTCCTCAATAAGTTTCTTTTAATTCACATCGATTTCAGGGCAGTGACGTAGTCCAAACTCCATTCAAACAAAAACTGGAGCTTCAAGGACCTGAGCTTCGCTCTGGATTTCTGAGATCACACCTAGAAGGCATCCAAAGATGCTCTCAGAACCACACCAGAACCGCTGATCCTCCTGGAGTCCTTTCAGGCAAAGGTATTTGGACCCAATCTACCACTGCACTCAACTATAGAACATGCTATGGGGCACAGTGGGATGTGGCCTGCAAGTCATACTCCTGCTGCCACACCTTACATCTCAGCATTATCTCTTACAATGGGCCCTCCCCCACAGCCCTGTGAGGTAAGCAGAGTTTACTGATTCCATTTTCCAGAGGAGGCGGCTAAGTGTCAGAGAAGATGTACGACAAGAACATTCAACTAGAAAATATCAAAAATGAAATTCCAGCTTAGGTCTTCTGACCCTAAGCTCACCATACAGGTCATCCCTACCCCTTCTCACTCCCCCTCAACACCATGCTCTCCTAAAAGCCAACCTCAAAGCAGAATGGCCAAGCAGCACATTCACCTGCCAGTGGGGGATGGAGATGACAGTTTGTTCACTGATAGTATATATAATCATCTTAACAGTCCCTTGGTACTATCATTTATGATTATCAACTACTACAATTACTATTAGTAATTATAGTTTCCTTGTAAACACAATAACCCTATTTTTCACATTACACACACACACACACACACACACACACACACACACACAATTTTCCCCCTCCTTTCTCAAGAAAGCACACTATTGGCCAATAGGAGTAAAACCAGCATCACATGGCACCCTTGGTGATTTTTATCTTTGCCACAACAAAAGGCAGTAACTTGCCATTGAAGTTTTTGTAAAATGCAAAATACAATATATTATAATGGCATAGATACTGCTCCACTAATAAAGATGGAAGCAGCACCAAAAAAAAACAAAAAACAAAAAAACCCACAGCTGGGGAGAATGTAGTATATGATGGCCTAACATGGCCTTTCATCTGTTGGTCACCAAAATTCCGCAAGCACAGAGGTTTAGAGGTATCAATGTCTAACCTCCACCTGTGAAGGTGCTGGCACACATGAGCCTGAGGAAAGCTGGCCAGGGAACCCCGCACCTGGCTGGCAGGCCTGTCTCTTCCATCCTCAGAATGAGTAAAACTCCAGAGAACTTCTGCAAGCGCCTCCTGGCCTAGGGGCTGGAACACCTGCTCACAAGAACACTGAGACCCACAAAGGAGATAAGATGTGGCTCCATGACTCACAAATCCAGCACGCTGACCCCAGGAAACTCACCAAGAAGTTATGCCAGGAGCTACACAAAACCAAGGGAAAAACATGATGTGCCTTCGGAAACATCCATTTTACTCCAAGTTTTGGTGATGATAAGGAAATGAACCAGTAATTTAAAAGTTGTTGCCGAAACCGGTTTGGCTCAGTGGATAGAGCGTCGGCCTGCGGACTGAAAGGTCCCAGGTTCGATTCCGGTCAAGGGCATGTACCTGGGATGCGGGCACATCCCCGGTGGAGGATGTGCAGGCGGTGATCGATGTTTCTCGCTCATCGATGTTTCTGACTCTCTCTCTCTCTCCCTTCCTCTCTGTAAAAAAATCAATAAAATATATTTAAAAAAAAAAAAGTTGTTAATAGTAAAACAAATATGCCTTGTGGAGTAGAATGTCACCTGGCATGCATTTTTAACTAAAACTCCTTACATGCTTAATTCATTTCCGGCTATACCCTTACCTGTGGGGGAAGGGAATAGGGATGGACTCTCTCCTTTATCATTAACGGTGGCCTTGGGAGAACATGTGAAGTTGGTAGGGATTTTATATCACAGTGAGCCCAGAAAGCTACCAATAGCCCTTGGTCTGAAGAATTCTCTTCAAAATCAGGGATCCCAGATTTCTGCCAGATCTAGGTCAGGTAGACTGAAGGCGAGGCACACATACATAATCCCCTCTCTACACCACACATCCTGGTGTAGGAATTCTGAAAGTGCCTCTCTTCACTGTCCTTCCCACCAGCTTCCAGGCCCCACCACACTCCTGCCCTCAGTTCCCGTTTACATCACTGACTTTCTTCAACCTCATCCTGTCTGCTGACACATTCAGCACTTACAGTAATTTTCATTTACATGGATGCTGCATCATTACTAAGGAAAAACAAGCTCACCAGTTTAGTTTGCCTCTAAATACTTTTTATTGTAAAATATATTAAAAAGTGCATAACCGTGGTAGCCAGCTCCCAAGGTGGCCCCCAATGATCCCGCCTCCAATATTCATGCTCTTGCGTGGTCCCCTCCCACAATGAATAGGCTGGCGTGAATAGCCAATAGGATGCTGGGGAAATGATGGAGTGTGACTCAAAGGCTCCGTGAAAGAGCAGCTTCCCTCTCTCGCTATCTTGGGAGGAAAGCTGGCTGCTGTTTCCTGCGTTCTCAAGTGCTCTAAAGAAACCCATGTGCTGAGGAACTGAGCCTCCTGCAACAGCCAATGGAGGTGGCCTTCTTAGGAGCACAACCTCCAGCCCAGCCAAGCCGAGCCCTCAGAAGATGGCTGCTTCAGCGATCTGGACTGCAACGCCATTGGAGACCCCAAATTACAACCACCCAGCTAAGCTGCTCCAGACTTCCTGACCCACACAGAAACTGTGTGAGATCATAAATGTAACTGTGTTTTAAACTGCTGGAGATATATTGATATATATATATATATATCATGCCAGATTAAAGAACAATAAAATATACCCCATGTACCTAATACCCAGTTGATGTTGCTGGGGTTTGGGTTGTTTGTGTTTTAGAAGACCTACGTGCCCCTTCCTGATCACCTCTCCCTCTCTACCCGCCTTGCCCTGCCTCCCTGCACAGATAACCACCAGCCTGAATTCTGAGTTAATTATTCCTTTGTTCCTCTCTGTAATTTTACCACATATGTATTCTCAATACACGGTTACATTTTGCCTGGTTGTAAGGCTAATATAAATGAAACAGACTATACATATTCTTCTAATACTTGCCCCTTAAGAGTTTGAGATTCATCCTTGTTGACTCCTGTGGCTGTAGATTTTCACCACTACCTAGTTCTCATTTTATGAACATATCCACAATTTACTGCTCTGTTCTACTGCTGAGGATCACCTGGGGAGTTCTCAGTTTTTTGCTGTATGAATAATGCTGCCATTTACATTCTAGTGCTCCTCGCCAGCAAGTTCCTCCAAAGGCACACACCTAGGAGAGGGGAGCTGGGCTTGGGATTGCAATGCTCAGCTCTCCTAAGGAGTGTCCAACCGTCTTCCAAAGTGGTTGTGTACAACTGACTCTTAAGCCGCCTTTCTAGTCTCTCTCCAAATAAGAGGCATGCCTGTTTTGCTAATTACCAGTAAAGCTTTCAATCAACAAAGGGAAAGCTTTTCCTATTTGCAGCATCACTACTGCAAATAAATAGTACTCCAAAGCAGTGACCCAGACAGCTGGAACGGATTAGTCACAGGACATCAGTACAGACTTCAGAATAATGATGCAGACCCGACCAGCACCACACACTGCCCAGAGGGATAAGTCAAATTGGATATCTAGACTGACATTAAATTCAGACCGCTTTCCTCCCAGCAGACTCACATCCATGGTCCCATCTTATTATTGTCATCTCGGAGGGGGGAAAAATTAACTCGCATGCAACCCGGCAAGTTAAGATTAAAGCAAGAAAGTCAAATTACTTCAATGAAATTGTATTTGGGGGATTTTTTTTAACAGAGAGCTGGTTATGTTTTTTTATGTTTTCATCTATGAGATTTTCATTTACTATATCTAATTTTATGTTTAGTAATTCAACAAAAAGTAGATGTTCTTTTATATTTAGTTCATTCAATTTCTTAAGTGGCAACAGTAATATTTATAATAATGTATCTGTATTTCAAGTAAAAACAATATCAAACATTATGTGGCATCAAATACAAAAAATAATAAATTACTTCAATTGGAACAGGAAGGAGAGAAGAAATATACTGTAAATTTCAATGAGGTTCATATCATGTCACTGAAAAAAAAAACAACAGCCGAAACCGGTTTGGCTCAGTGGATAGAGCATCGGGCTGCAGACTGAAAGGTCCCAGGTTCGATTCCGGTCAAGGGCATGTACCTGGGTTGTGGGCACATCCCCAGTAGGAGATGTGCAGGAGGCAGCTGATCGATGCCTCTCTCTCATCGATGTTTCTAACTCTCTATCTCTCTCCCTTCCTCTCTGTAAAACAATCAATAA